GAGAGAGAGAGAGAGAGAGAGAAGGGGGAGAGGTTGGGGGACATTATTTCCTCAAGCACCTACTCTGTCTACAACCCAAAGTCTCCAGGGTGAAAAAACGAACACAAAACGCACATAGACACAACATACAAACAAGAAATGAGTTGACGTTAAGCGAAAGTAGGCCAACTACTACTACAGTGTTAGCTTTTAGTATTAGTAGTAGGCCCTCTATGCATGCAACAACAACAACGGACCTTCCTTCGTTATCTCTAGACTACTTACGTGGGAACTTTTGGTGGGCTGGTTGTTCATGATCTTATCACTCTTATCTTGGTCACACATCTCGGTGGAGCTTGAATGAATGAAGGCTGAATTCTTTTCGACGCGATAAGAAAAAATCGGAAGGGATGCGGCAATAAATTTCACTATTTCTTTTATGACGCGGCACGAGTTCTTTCCCCAGCAAAATCTTCCACAGAACCGAGCCTTGCCCAACCTACTTTTCGTCGGTTGTCGGTTGATCAAGTGTGTTGAACTGGGCCAATCGTTCTTTATGGGCGTGTCTTGTTTGACGAAATCAATTCACCAACAAATATTAGGCTATTATTCAGATTCCAATTATTCTATAAATAGCTGCTCTCCAAATATCGATTTTAGCTTTCTAGATTTAAAAAAAATACATCTACTCATGACTTTTGATACTCTATCTTATTTTTAAAAAAGTCAAACAGCCAAAAATAAAAAAGACAGCTTATAAAGAGATTGAGGACGAATTCATAATTTATTCTACTGAGAATCCGCTAAATGTTAGGCTACTTTCGTTTCTTTCGTACAAAGGATATGATTTAAGTCTACCTTGCCAACCTTTTCAAAGCGTCAAAATGGCGTCAAGTCAGGACTTGAAAGAAGGTATGAGGGGGAAAAAAGATGAAAACTTGGGTTATATTTTAAAATAAATTTTGCTTGGACTGAAATTCCAAGCGATTGTCACGAAAGAGGCCTAGAATAGAACGTATGATTGTTAATTTGAATTTGAGCTCGTGCAGTCACAGTATTGTCATGAGTAAATTGTGAATGAACAAATACTTGCCTTCCTAGTCCTAGCCTAGCCTAGAGTTAGAGGCACTAGATTCTAGAGATAGAATCTAGATTCTAGATCTAGTCAATCTAGATCTAGAGACTAGTGAGGTGAGAGAGAGAAAGAGAGTTATTTGTGGTAGTGCAGAGGCCTGCATACAACTATTTGTATTAATCTGAACCATTTTATCAGTTTGATGGGTTTTGCACGTTCTCTGAATATAACATCTAGATCTAGCCTTTAACTCTTTTTAAGACTTTCTTTGTTACATTTTGTAAGTAAAAGACACCTTTGTCCCACCAACAGCAGACCAAAGGCAATTTTGTAAAACATTTCGAACCATCATACACGCAAATCAGAAACACAAATTAAATTTTTATATTTTGTGGCATGCATGTTGGTGCTTGCATTTTGAAATTCCAGAATAAAGTATTATAAAGTAGCAATGCCAATCGCCCGCTGCGCCTTGTGCCGGAAATCGGTCTCCGAGCGAGGGGTATTTTTTGGGCCGCTCGGAATCAGAAGTGACTCTCTTCTAAGTTAAGTTACGGGAAAACTCCTGGACGAAAATAAATGAAACTCGGCAACCAACCAGAGGAAAGGTTAAACTAACAACATGCCAGCGTACAATCCCGAACGATTACTAGAACCGGAGATATTGCCATGTTTGTGCGAATTTCCTCTGCGGTTTGAAAACTAAGCGGAGCAGCGGGTTGATCGCCAACCACACAAGTGCCCCACATGTCTTCTTTATTGCTGTATAATTTCAGATCTCTGCGTTTAGTAGATTTTCCGTACCAACTTAAAATTACCACCCATCCATTGATAAAACCCTAGATCTAGAAACTTGATCCCGCTTTCCAAACGCGAGGTGCCGGCACGCAAGAGGCACGTGATCGCTAGGCGGCATGTGATTGGCTGCCTATAACCAAATGGGTCACCGATGACTACATCGCGGGTTTTCTCGATAGCGCTTTACTGAGTTTTAGAAGGGGTGATCGCGTCGCGGTAAAAACGATGTCACGCAATTCAACAAATTTCACGCAAATATCAGTCTTTAAGATCCAAAGTAATGAAGACATCGAAAAAGTGATAGCAGAACTAGGTTCGGCACTAAAAATCACATGGAGATGCCAAGTTTCATTCATATGCTCCAATTCATTACTGACTTATGAACAGTTTTTCCTCAAAATACATCAAAACATGTCCCACATTTTGGCGATTTTTTCCTATAGATATATATGAAGGTCCTCCAACATTTTGCAAACAAAAATCCCAATAACTTTTTTATTTATCAATGGATTTTTAAATTTTAAAAACCATAGTTCTTAGAATTTACTCTATTTTCATTTAAGTCCATTTTTAAGCAATTTGGATGAAAATTTAATTTTTCATTGTCATTGCTATATAAAGACAACAGTCTAATTGAAAAATTTTTAGGCAGGGCCTAGGCCTATACTATTAAATTTATAAACAAAGATGCAATAAAATATGAAGTTTTCTTGCAATGTTGAATGACCAGAAGGCTCGTCTTCAATGAGTTAACATCATTATAAGCAATTTTACTGAACTGTTGTAGTTGAAAGGAATTCTTGATGAAGTTGAAGCCATATATAACGATTATGATTCTCATTAACACATTTCTTGTCAAGGTTTCAGAATTTGACATGATCACTTTAGATTCCTGCATTATTTATGTATTATAATATTACAGTCATGAATGAATGATCATGTTTTGAGGTTTTGTTGGGAGAAGGATTTAATAAATTATTATAATCAAAGAGAAATATTTGAGATGGATTCAGGAGGTTTGGGGGGGGGGGGGGAGTGTCATGATCATGAAGGTTGGATTTTGATTTGTTCTGAGCTCTAATCTTAAACTCTGAGAATGCACTCCTGTTTGGGACTATACTATGCTTAGAATATATTATAAGAATCAGACGAGAAACAGACATGATTTTTATCTGGAATTTTCTCGTCTTTAGGTCTTTTCTTTGCAAAGGTTTTCTCAGTGCTCAGTACGTTTTTTAAAATTATATATATATATATATTAGATTGGTCTCAGAAAAGTATGTCTTTCCTATCACTGCCTGTCAAATAGTATTTTTGTGCTTCCAATATATTGTGAGGAGGCACTAAGGAATCTTCGATTGGTTGTTGCAAATATTAGTTCTGATGTATTGATCATGTGTTTAGAAATAATTTTAAAACCTGCATTCATGTAAATGCTTTGTTGGTTTTTTTCTCTCCTCCACCCCCCCCCCCTCCCCCCTCCCCATCCCAGTTTTAAAAGAGAGTCTTGAAAACAAAGGCTCTCTTGGGGAGATCAAGGCAAGAATACGTGCTGAAGTTTTCCGTGCTTTGGATGACCAGTCAGAGGCCAAACCCCACATCAGCAATGAAAATGTTCTCATCTTTGAACTGATTAGAGAGTTTCTTGAATACAACCACTGTAAATATTCCGTGTCGGTACTCGTATCAGGTAACAGAATATTTTACAAATTTAAAACTGGCTTTGTTTCTATGAGATGATTGAGAGGAGGGTTGCGGTTTATTAATCTTGCCCAAGGCTTCTTGTTGTTATCCATCTCAGGTCTGTGCAAAAATGTTTGTTGTCAGATTATAAATAAATGCAAGGTGATATAATTTTCACATGGATTAAATCATGTTGCCAATGTTGCTGTTGCCAAGATCGTAATATTTAATTAAACTTAGAGATGAATTATTTAAGAGAAAGCCTGACTTTGCAAGGAGATAAAGTTTTCTACTCTTTAGATAATTTCAACCTACTGTTCATTGACTCCACATGTCTTGATTAAAGATGACTGTTAAGAACGAAATTCAGTGAAAGTTGAATTTGGCACTTTTTATTTGCAAGTGAAACCTTTGCTTACCATTGCAGCATCCTGGTAACAGATCTTTCTCGACAATCAGAAAGCTATTGAAGGGTGTTGAAGATGCAGGGGGAGATTCCTCTGTGTGTGTGTGCAGAAAAAGGAAATTTTTTTTTATAAATCTTTTTTCAACATAAGAAATGAACATGGTGCTATCCTACATCTGTACAGGACTAAAGTTACCTCGATACAACTAAGTAAGATGCTTTTGTGGCTAAATTAACTAAACGTAAAAAAGACAAAAGGAATTAATAGTAGACTTTAGAGTAAAAAAGGACCAATTGCAAAATTTATTAAAGATGACAAGTTTGTATCCTGCACAACAATTGATTACAAACTTGACTGGCATCTCCATGCTCCTCTCGTGTGTAAACAAGTAAATCAAAAAATGTTCCTTTTTTATTAAGGAAATTAAGAAGTTTCTGTGTCGATAATAAGATTATGTCCCTTTTATACCATTCTATGATGGAAAGCATGCTATTATTTTGTATTTGCTATTGGGCTGGGAATGGAAGAGTAAAAGATGAAAAATTCGACAGAACCATTAAGAAAGCCAACAAGATCTCTGGAATTATTTTATTAGAATTGATGAAATGTATAACACCACAAGTATAAAAAAAATATAAAAAGCATTAAAATAAACAACCCATCACACCCACTTTCCTCGCAAATTGTCAAATCACGAAGCGGCAGATAGATCTATGTATCTAAAAACAAAGAAAGAAAGATATAAAAGAAGTTTTTACCTTCTAGGTTATTGTCAGAATAAGCATAGATGTGTATTGCTCTTTAGAGTATGTAATATCTATAAATGACTCCAAAGTCTTGTAATTTAATTCCTGCATGTGGGGTTGAATGATGCATTTGATGTGATAAGTACATTTTGTCTGCTATTTTTTTTTTTCATATTGAATTCTAATGAGAGTAATTTAGAATTTAAATTTTTATGTATATCTGCATGTGTTTTTACAGTTCTGAACAACCAAGAAATTTCCCTCGGGGATATAATAAAGTATTACCTTATCTTATCTTATCTTATCTTAAGTTGTCAGTGCCACCTCATAAAAAGCAGCAATAGAGAAACCATTCCCAATGCTGCTGGGTGTCAGTGGACTTGGTAATGTGAGTAGTTCTTGATTGGGGAAACTAAGAATCTTTGTCTCATGCATACAAAGTATTTATTTTGTACACGTTTTTATTATTTGTGCTCACAACAAGAAGGCCAGCACTGTGGTCAATGAATGCGTGCATACAGATAACTTGTTCTCTTAAGAGGCATCAAATATTTACTGAAATATTTTCTCATTCTTTCTCAGAAACTGGATTACCAAAGGTGCCTTTAGACCGAGACTTTTTGCGGAATGAACTTAATGTTGTTGAGGATGCTCCATCAAAATCTGTGTAAGTTTCAACATAGTTGGTGATTTGCTTTGACACTTTTGTGAAGCATCGTGGTGAAATCAGGCGCTCATCAAAATAACGAAATCAGAGAAACAGGCAATTTTCTGCCAGTTAGGCAATTTTATCGAATTTTTGTTTTTTGGCTCAACCCATTTTATGTCCATATAAAAACCCATTTCTGTGTGTCTTGTACAGAAGAATGTTAATTAATGGCACACATTATATCATTTTTCAGTTTTCAGACTTCTATTCAAGATAGATGGGCATTTTTTCTTCATTAAAAGCGAAGCAAGTAAATAAGCTTTCAGATGATACCAATAACCCTACGTGCCCAAAAATTAATGAGCGCCTGATTCCACCACGTCGTGACACATTTTATCTTTGCTATCTCAAAGGTGAAATATGTGCCACTTGATTATACATCAGTTTTGGAAGCCAACATGCTCTATTCTTTAAGTTTCTAGGTGTTTAAATCTTGACATGATGATCTTTCTTTTTTTCTGCCTTACTGGAGACATTCAGCCTACTGCTTCTGCTGTTGTGGTAAGATCAGTCCATGATAGGAATTGTCTTGTCTCCAACATAATATGATTGACATCTTCTTAAGACATTGTAATGAGATGATAAATGCTATATCTATTCCTAGATTCTACTCATTAGTCTATCTACGTTGTTTTCAATACCCAGTTTCCAGGGGGGAATGATGTGTGTGGGTCTTACAGGTCCGGAGCTCCATCCACTGCGTCGACCCGGTTCAACTTTCGCGTCTGTTTATATACCCTCCCCTTTCGCCCTTATTCTCCTACACTCACTAGGCTACTCTGAGTTTGTTCACTCATTTCACGTGCTTGTGGTTTGCCAGGTAATCACAACGAATGAGACCACAGACATGTCATTTTACTTCTGGATTTTGAACTCGAAAAGAAGGTCTCTGTAAATGTCATTGCTGCTGAATAAAAAGCCACTTACTTGACTAGCAGGCCAGTTACTAGTAAGGTTATTATTTTCAGAAAACGCTAGTTATTCTTGCAAATTTTCCCTAAATGGAGTCTTATCTGAGCTGCTTTTTTAATGAGATGGATACTTTTGCTGTCTCCAGGCCTCTCTTATACAGCCTAGTGTCCAACTACAAGGATGACAATGCTGACAGAGCCCTAAAGGCAAAAGGTTTTTTCAATCATGCTGGGACAAGGGCTCCCTCAACTTCAAATATGAAAGATGGTGAGTGTTGTATTATAATAATACTGAAAGCAAGAAGTCATAAGAATCAACTCCAAACACAATTGCTCTCTAATTATGTGATTTCTTCCTGGAAGTCTATATGATTTCAGCTGGTGGTTCCGACCCCTTGACAATTACAATTACTTCAGGCGAGTAGCAATATTTGGCAGGCAGAAATTACTAGGCAAGTGGCAATTACTTCTGTTGAGTTCAACCTTTAGACGATTCCATAATTACTTCCGACGAGTAGCATTTTCTTCCCATGAGTTTAATATCTAGCTAGTTTGCTGGTTTCCTGGTCAGTTATGAACAGCGCCACAATGTTGGATAAACTCTATTTCGGAATATGGCAAGGCACCAACATTTTTTTAAAAAAAGAAGAAATTTTTGATAAATAAAATAATTGGTAACAAATGATTTACGTAAAAAGGAATTGGAACTTTTTTCCGTCGCACCAAACGCAGGAATCAGTACTAAAATTGATTCTTCGCCCAGCTCTTATACGAAGCGTAAGATTATTGCTGAAGAGAATTCAAGGGAGGGAACAAAGTTTTTACATTTTGTCTCATAGAAAAAGCAATTGCATGAGTTGCTCCCCTCAGTCGATTTGGAGTGGAACCATGTCATTGGGATGTTCACTTTAAGTCAAACCTGGTGTGGATTTTGTTGTCTTTGGTTTAATTTGAAAGCTGTTGGAACGCTGAGTGACGACTTACTATCTTAGTAAAAGGAATTCACCAGTGGTCTTTTGTAATCTTACAGATAACAGGTGGTGATGGCTGTATGTGTTTGGGTATGTGGGTGTCTAAGCTACTGTCGTGTGTCTGTGCGGGTGTAAGATAGATGTAAGGCGAGGGAGAGAGAAAGAAAGAATTTCCGTGTACCCGCCCGTTTGAAATCAAAACTTTGGATCTTAAAGAATGTTTGTATTTGTTTTATATCTCTTTCTAGTCAATTGTAAATTTCATGGGACGGAAATCCAAAATTACTGTACATTATTTATTGCTTATTAAATATTATTTATGAGGATGAAGATAAGTTTGTAGATAGCCTGATGCTAGTGAAACAAGCCTTGGTAAATGAGAATTATTATCAACGCACTATGCATGCAAAGCTGACTTACATGCAGATATTCGTACCCAGGGTTGAATTGTATTCTACATTTTTTTAGTCATAGATATTGTTACAAAGCTTTCAGTTTGGTAAGTTTAGAAAAAGGCACACGTTTCGTCTTTAGTTCTGTTTGCTTCATGCTGTGCTGTGATATGACCCTAGTTTGAGTAGCAAGGCGTTCTTGAATTTGAATCATTTAGGAAGTTTTTTCATTGCCCTTTTCCGGTGATTGTGAAAGGCATCCAATTGTACTGTAACTCTGTCCTTTTGAAAATAGAAGTATTATAAATAATTTGAATTTGAATTACTTTTTTCCCTCAGATACAGACCATGAAGATCCAGCACCTGTGATTGTGAAAGGCAGCCATTTGTAGCAGTGGACGCAGTTTTCTTCTCTTTTTTTTTTCTCTTTTTATGCGCAGTGTGATTGTACATAGAATCCACAAGATTGCCAGATTTCTTAAAATATGTGCATCATTCGAAAGACTGTTATTGTTCTTTGACAGTATATTAATAAAACTGTAAATACTTTCAATTTCAAAGTCAAATCATGTAAGATAATATTTATGTTGCTTTGATGTATATTATATATGTACTTTTGCAAGCAAAAGCCCCCCAATAAACTTTGCCACAAAACACTGAACAATCTTATCAAGAATCCTTGTAGTTTCCATGTTTTACATTGTTTTATACTGTGAGTCAGGGGTTCAATCGTTAAATAAAGGTGGCCATTTGAATTGTTTCTCTATAACTTTTTAAAATTATTCAATAACTTTAGGATAGGCCTACACCTTCTATTTAGAGTCAGATAACCTGTACTTGATGTATTCAGGGTCAACTAGCTAGTACTAGTATTATTTATTATCTGGTGCTAGCTTTATCATTTATGCTAAATTCTTCTACAAAATGAATCATTGTCTTGCAATTTTGAAAAAAAAAATCACAATTCATCTCCAAGCAGTCTCTCATTTCTTTTATGTGAAGATGGTTGAAGAGCTTAGAACTCTGTCTCTAGTATTAGAATTTAGATCTTAAGTATTTTGGTTAAATTGTGTGTGTGCCTGTGAAAAGTTCCCAGTTGTCGGCAAAGCTATTTTTGAGCAACGGGGTAAAAAGGCCAAAAAAGTCGTACCTGATCAAAAATATAGTTCCATTATAAGAAAACACTCATTTAAACATTTTTTAATAACATTGAAAGGATTTTAGATTATTTTAAGTCTAAATATTTGTTTATTAGTTATTTTTGCAACATGTTGTACTTCGCCAAAGTTTAAAAATGTGCTACAAATTAGGTTTTTCTTCTAACTTTGTTTTGATACCCTGTGTTACAAAATGTGATATATCTTTAGAAATACTCAAGATATTTGAACAATTTAACTCATTCGCTACGCCGTGCCGTGGGCAGTGACGCGGTAAATGTGTCTTCCGTACGCCAAGCAGCCCCCGACAACTCGAGAACCGACCTATAATTCTAGCTTAGATTTTATTCCAATCCAATCCATGTTAAAATAAAGGTTATAATATAACATTGACTTCCGGGTCAAGCGTTTCCACCGCAAACTGAAAGTTTTGATTTGGTTTTTAAATTGAAACACGATTTCGAAGTTTGCGCGACTTTGTTTTATCGTGATGCCCAAATTATAGCCCAGACATCAGTCTTAGTACTTTTTCACATCAAAACGTACGTATCAATTTTTTGCTCACTAAAGAAATATAGGACTCTTCTTTAGAATATTGTTACTATTGGACACAAATTGCCTGTGGTCTGCTTTTGAGAAATCAATATTTTTCAGTGCTAAATCTAAAATGCCAAAGTATTTTTTCTCTCCCCGAAATTACTATTTTTTGGGGTGAAATTACAGAAAAAGTACCACTCAAGACATATATAGTAGTTTCTTTCAAATGTAATTCTGAATAATTCCATGTAAGATACAATTTTTTTTTTTGGTGAATGCATCATGTCCTTTTATCAAGAGTATACAAATTTTTTTTTTTTTTCAATATTGGATGTTATGATCCAAATGTACAAATTTTATGGAATGTAAGTAAAAAACTAAATTTTTCAATATTTTCCAGTTCTATATATTCATTTATGGTTATTTTGATGTATCATTTGACTAGGTGCGACCATATTTTTTTAGTTTCACCAAAGATTATTAATTTTTTTATTTCCAAATTTTTACGCATTCTAGTAAAATTGTGTTGCATAATCGCCTCTTACAGTAACCAAAGTTGAAAAATACACAAACATTATTACAGAGATGTATTCTACAAACCATACTGAAAATTGTGGTATATAAATGTTAATATTTTTATTTGAATTTGTGGCCTCAAAGACCTGTGAACTGAGCACTAGTCACCATCTCATTTCGCCCTCCCGAAAAAAATTTGTCCACAAGCCGAAAATAATACGTAGCGAATGAGTTAAAAACCGGCGTGTTCAGTATTAAATGTGCTCCAACAATATGCCCTTATTTTAATATCCAGAATTTCTGATAACTGGTACCTTTCTCCAGGCACACACCCATAATTATTTGTCCGGTACCATCGAAAGCCTCTCTTAATTAAACCTCGCTGTTATTGTCTGAGAAGCAGTAGACCTGTAGAAGCACCTATCATAATATAGTGGAAACCATATATAACAGGCCTGCAGGGACGGCTCGTGGGGCTAAAAAGTGGGCGTGCACTAAAAAACAGCTGGTTGAAGATGGTCAAGGGCATAGTAAATGGGATGGTAGGATCTCTGGGTTGGTGAAGGAGGACCTTAATATGCTTTTATTTTCGTTCTTTTTACTGGTCGCTCTGATTTCTAGAACTAAATCTGTTTGTTAGCTAAACATCAAGTTCTTTACCCTGCATTGGAACTAAACACTCGAGTAATAACTTTCCCCACTCCACTACAAAACCATTCAAAGGCACAACTCATAGGGCGGTGCCTAAAGTTTGTCAAGTTCACCTCCCTCAGGTCACGGTCACCTGGTCGCTTAAAATAGAGGCAAGACAATGAACCAATCACAATTCACTTGAGCACTTCACTGGATTGCTCCGGGGATCACATGATTTTGGCATTGAATAGTGTACAGGCTATCCCGTTTATTTTTAATTTTCCTACTGTGGGCTATGTTTCGTGAGTGCACATTTGGGATGTGCCGCCTTGTTAATACTTACTTACTTTTACTTTTTCATCCTCTGTTGCCGTTAAGTAAGCGTCGAGGGGAGATGCAGTTTTCTATGGTAGGCCAGCTCCGCAGCTCTTTCAGTTGTGATGTTATGTTTTCTTAGGGTTTCCTTGACACCCTCGATCCTCCTTTTGCGTGGCCTTCCTCTTCCTTTATAGCCTGAGTGCTTGGTGTTGTAGGCTCTCAAGGCTGGCTGGTCAGGTGACATGCGTAACAGGTGGCCATACCATTTTATCCTCTGCCTTGTTAATATTAATACGTTACAAAGTGTCGTCATCGCTTGGGTTATCCCAAAGAGCGATTTATAGGTCAGATAGCCACTGTTGGTCGTTTGTTGAATATTCTATTACGTTTAGTTAAAGTGCGTGAACTTTGGCTTGGCATAGTAGATGCTTTACGGCGCTTTTGACTCAGAAATGACAGTTACAGCGCCAACGAGGACCTTGTTTTGATATTATATTTGGCTAGTGTTTGTTTTTTACTTCTTTTATTTCATGTTTGTGGGTGCTTTTCGTAATAGAACACTTAAAAATTTTGGGCGGCACTGCACGACCGTGCTCTATGGACGAACCGCTCCTGCAGGCCCGGTAATAACAGGGATCTGGTTATAATAGGGATTTTTTAAATCCCCGGTTTTTTTTCTACTCTTTGTCTCTTTTAAAGTTATCGGCAATAACAGGGCCTCATCGGAGCCGAATCGGTTATAGCAGGGACAACGGCTCATTAACTATGTGCAAAAAGGAAGAGACAGAGAGAGAGAGAGAGTAACGCAGTGATAGAGCAAGCCCATGCAAGCCACACCACTGCAAGCACACGCAGCGGGTGAAGCAAGAGAGGGCTGCAGTGTGCTGCAGACATCGATCTAGCCCTAAGCCTAGCTACACACACACGTAAAAACCCCTGTTCGTAAGTAGGCCCTATTTGTGGCAAGGGTAACTACCCATGAATAACTAAAGCTGGATTAGTCCTCAAATGCTTACTTCCCTTACATTTCTGATTTAACAAGGATTTGATACACAGGACTTTTTCTCTGGTCCAATCATCCCTGTTATATCAGGTTTCTACTGTATTAACAGTTGTGTTGGTTATATTGTTGTCACACCAGTTTTAATGTTATTTACAACTTGTTCACAGATGTAGAACCATAGTACTAGTAGTTGGAATCTTTGGGAGGAAAAAAATCCTTTCCTCTCAGTGTTTTTCTTCCTGACATCTCTCCAACAGTTACAATTTTTCAATTACGTTTTCACTTTCAGAAATTTATTTGTGATGATTTTGATGGGGGTTGGTACATGTACTAGTTTTCCTCAAATCAAGATGTGGAAGGAGGAGGGGGGGGGGTTAGTGTGGGTGTGGGTTTTGGTGTGGGTGTGAAACGGCGCTGGAACTGTTCTACGGAGAAAAACAAGAAGCTGTTCGGGAGTGTCATACTAAAGCAGGGTGAGTGAGGAGGGGGGGGGTTGCTACTCTCTTGTATCACCTCTAATCTTTGTCGCTTGTATGATCTAATTGTGTTGCAAGTGCCTTAAAACCCTTACAATCCTCTCGGTCTGCTTGTTTGTCCCTGCATCCATGGACTTCCTCTACCTTTTACTTTGTGGGTGGTTGGAGGGTGTTGTGGCTAGGTTTTTCTGCTTTCCTTCCCTCTAATGTCTTTGTTAGTCTACCTTACCTTTTTACTTCACTAAACATAATTGTGTCCAAATGCTCTATTTAGCCCCGCGCCCGAATTCCACAAAAAAAAAACCTCAAAGAAAATTCTACCTCCGCCCGCCAAAAGAGAAAAATGATAATAAGCCTGTGTTAATGTTGTCACTTTATGGGAATCCTAGAAGTGCTTTAATCTGAATTAGTGCTATTGTATCTGGACAACAATAGACTTGCACCCTCTTCCCTCCCCTTCCTTCCCCTATCATACCACACCACACCACACCACACCACACTACACCACACTACACCACACCACAC